CAAATCCGCCAGGACGCCGCTCCGTCGGACGGGCTCCTACTTGTCCTTGTCGGACATGCAGGCTGCAATAGAGACTCCACTCTATGGATGCAGCGCCGTCTCGCCTCCCGTCCCGGATTGCTCGACGTCCGTGCCCTACATCCGTTCCTTGCGCCATTACAAGGAGCAGCGGGAACGACGCAAAGCGGCGCTTTCTCGGTGTTCATCCACCATCTTCCACGACACGTTCACTATCGCACCGGTCGCACACAAATTCACACGTAAAACAGTGTCCCGGCCTCGCTCGTCCTCCCCATTAGCGCCCTTGCGGTCGCCTCTTCCCGAGCGCGCCTGTTTCCCACGCTCGAAGCCAGAGCCCGACCTCTACCGCGTGGCGATCACTACGCGAATGCGCATGTCCCCTGAGGGCCGGAAAATTCTTCACATGGGCCCACATCTGGCGCTCTCGATGCTCACGGCCACACGGGAGCTGGAGAGAATCGTCGCCGCGCAGCAGCGTGAGCCAGACGGGGATGTGACCATGAGGAGTGGCGAAGGGCTGCTAAGCAACTCCTGGGTAGTTGTTCCGCCGGAGGATTGGGAGATGGTCGACTGCGGTTCATAGAACTTGGTGACACGGGCTTGACGACGCAGATGGCGGAGACACGAATGGACTACAATAACCCGCACCCCGCACGCATGGAGACTGCATGATGGAATCCTACTCCCCTTTTTGGATGGCCACAGATATGAAATCCTCCCCATCCCATCATTTATTGCCTTCCTTCGTTCAACCTTACTACAAACATGTGTTAATTTCCTCATTGGTGTAGGATTTGTGACTGGAATCGGACTACTTCGTATGCCTCTTGTGTTCGTTGTAATTTTACGTATGTTGTAGCACACAACCCCGCGATCGAACCTGCTGTCTTGCTTTCTCAGTTTGCCATGCATGCCTGAACCATGTCTGGGTGAAGGTCTTCATTCTGGCTGACCCTTGTCTTGATTTCGTGTCTCAAGATTCGGTCCGGGCTGGAAGTGGCGTGTCTGGCAGGAGGGTCAGGGGTTACTTACATAGTGCGCCTTCCCCCTTCATTCGGATCGACGCAGGTAAGCGAACAATAGGTGGATTTTGATGCTCTTCTGCCGTACGTGCAGCCGAGAATGAAGAAACTTTCATGGAACTGTCAATGCCTAGCTCGCTTCTTTCCCGGCCCTCCCGATACGTGCTCTGCTTCCTGACATCCTTCGACTGTACCGTCCTGTCGGCAGCAAGTCCAAGTGAAGTTCTCAGGATATTCCGCACGGTTGGCGCTGGTGTCCATCGGTCCATGGACATCTTCATCCCAGTCCGGCCACTTGTTGTAGTCGACTTTGAGGTGACCTAACTCCAGTCTGTGAGCCCCGCGTGCAGAAAGCACTAGCGTGCACGCCTGACCTGGGTGATACAGGCACTCGTCCGCCTTGCGTCGTCTCCCAGCGTCGAATTCCTCGTCACACACGCCGCAGGTTTCCCACCTCGGCACGGCATCCTTCTTCCGTTTTCCTGTCTTCTTGACGGTCACCAGCTTCTTGAAAACGGCGATCTCGACCTCCGGGTTGGTCAACACGAGTTCAGCGACGACCATGCGCAGTCTTTCTTCCGGGATGGTCGCGAGGGCACGGCGTAGTTGGACACGAGCAGCCTCGTCGAGAGGTGGCACCTCCTCTTCTCCCGACGATGAAATGCTGTCTGAGTCAGAACCGAAGTCCGACCCCTCTGCATCACTGCCAGCTTCAGCCTCCGAGTTCGTCAAGTCTATAACGTCCGGCATTGTTCAAGTGTAGGCCGGGAGATTGGCAGGCGACGCTGACTCTGCCGGTCATGACGCCAGTGAACTTGAATACGGAAATGCGACAGCGCGTAATAAAATCAACTCACGGTATTCGCGTGGACACCAAGCACAAGGTCGGATGCCTGCCAGCTGAGGCAAAGTCGTGACGGTCAGCGTTCAAGAGGAAACGCTGCAATCCGGGTCTAAAGATCTGAGATCTATGATTCACGGTCAATCACTACTGCACGTGTTCACCAGAACTCACTGGCATACTATTACTACAAGTCAACTTGAACTTCAACCAGTGGCTGAAGCCTTCAAGTTCCACTAAGCTCAAGCTTGCTAGGTATTATCTGACATCTCCACGTTCTGGCAGCAGGTCGACGTTGATCTTCGGTCCTTCAAACGGATTCTATTCTTGTGGTTTGGTTCTGGCCCGGCCGCATGCTGGGCAGTATAACAATCGACGGTCACTGAATCGATGGGTGGTAGTCCTGCAAGACGTTCTACACAATCAAGTGTGTGCGTCTCGATAGTGTTTTACAGCACAATGTCGCGCGGTCAAGTACTCTGCCGGCGCTGATGTACGGTATTTCCCTGAAGGTACGACGATGGCTCGACTCCGGATCCAGTGTGGGCTTTTCTGACAAAACGCTCATTATTTTCTGTGCACAATTGGGTGTGAGCACGTTCTCGATCGGACAGAGAGTAGCCCTGTTGGCGTATTCTACAGGTCCTGGGAACGTCACAAATTATTTTCTGGGAAACAGCTGAGGCTTTTTTCGAATACCGTGACGATGAGAGGCTGGTCTTCAAATTCTCCCGCTTTGGTATACCGTTCATTTCGGTCGGCTCTAGATCAAGCTATCCAAGCAGATGCACATCAAGGACCTGCGCGTTGGTGAGGTCGCCAGATTGTTCGACGGCACCTGTGTATTCAATCACCTCGAACACGTTCGCTCCTCTCTCTGCATGGAACAATCATTGATTGTGCACGTACTGAATAAAGTTTACCGACCGGTGTTCATTGCACCTGTTCTGGTGGGAAGACTACGCTGTAGCGTAAGCAAACCATGTCTCTGCGCCAAGCATGGGTTCCTTTGCAGCCCTCTGGTACTCACACGTACTCACAGGCCCTGGCACGTCATCCCCTCGGCTGATCTGACAAGGCTTACAGTGTGGGGAAGATGGTGATCTTAACGCGGACGTATTTTTGAGGCGAGATGAGATCGACTGGCATGATGCGGCGCGTATGGTGAATAATTACTTGGTACCTGACAGGCCTGAGAGGCAATTCGCTTGCAGCTCGGGCCCATGCGCTCGTAACGAATTCCGATTTCGGATATCAATTGGTCTCTCGTTCCCGCCGATCGGATAGCAATATTGTCCTCAGCGACGAGATTATCTCGGAACGATCCCGGAGAACTCCACAGGGAACGGAGTCGAGCATGCATCTCAACGCATCTAGTGTGTCAATTGTACACTTACACACATCGAGCTGGTACACAACTGCAGGCAGAACCCATCTTCCTCTCTCTGTACATACAAGTCTATCCAAGCCTCAGCGATCACCGAGACCAGCCCGCTAGAAAAGTGCACGCGTCCGCGGCACGACCACAAGGTACCCTATGTTGCTACATTGCTCCCCCACGATGTTTTCGTCGAATGTGAGCTTACGCATTTTTTATCGCCTCGGCCAGAGGCGTATCCATGTCTTCCGGATTTCCGACCCAGTGTACGACACAGTCTTTGGTCGTAATGATAAACACTAGCACGAGAACGTCAGCGTGCCGTGACAGGTTAGGTCATTCGGCATACCTAGGGGGATGGATAAAGTTTGTCCAGGCTCGAACAGCGCTGCAGAAGGATGAAGCGTCAGCGTTCCTCTGCGCACTCAGGACTACCGACCTTGAACAGCGACGCGGTTGATATCAATATACAGCGGGTAATTCATGTCGTCCCGGCGGGAGACGAAGTTCCTGACCACGGCGGTGTCTATTTCCGCTTTGGTGAAGATGCCCTCGTGGTTGAACGTGATGACTTTGATCTCCGGATACTTCGCCGCGGCGTCTGAGAGCAATTGACAGACCGGGTGACATGGCTGCAGTGCACGCGTTAGCCATCAGGCATGGCGCGTGGAGCGATCCCAGGAACAATGCGCACGCACCCGACACCAGCTGCGGGCGGAGATGAGCGCTCCCAGACACGGGGATCAGAAAGCGGACGGCACGCACGACGCCCAGAATTCGACGACGAGCACTTTGTGCTTCCGCCAGTCTGCCTTGCTCGGCCGGACGCACTCGTAAACGTCGTCGTCGATCCAGGACAGGTCGACCTGCTTCCCCAGCAGCGGGCTGCGCCATCCAGGACGCAGGAACGCGGGCGGGCCTTTCTTCATCTGCACCTCGAGGGTGTCCCACGCGGGCAGCCGCGCATTCTTCATGAATATCTCAATCACCGCAGGGCTGTGTGCTGCTATGAACCTGGCTGCGGGAGCGCACTGTTAGCCGGGATCTCCCCACCGTACAAAACAGCTCGCGGCACTCACCAACTGACTTCTCCCACAGATCTATGCGCCGGACAGCGTGCGGTGCGTGACATGCGAGACTTCAGGAGAGCAATTCGTTGGTGCAGCGGGCGCGAGGCACGCACCCTGGTCCCATTTGTCCCCATAAAGCTCTTGAAAGGGGGTCCAGATATTCGCCACGAAGTCCTCTCTGGCGGCGTGCTCCTCTGGCGACTCCTCTGCATATCTGGGCGCCATACGATACGCTAATATGCTCTAGTAGTCAAGTAGTGTCTAGGAGTGGCATATGCTCAGCAGCAGCGTGTATGGAGGCTTGTGGACTCACGTATGCGATTTTGAATGGTTTGGACGCCGGGAGACTCTTGCGTGCGGAATGTGAGAGTACAGACAGCCGGTGGCATAAGAGCTAAAAGGAGTGTCAACACGAGAGCTTTAGCTTCGTGGACGCACTCTTGATAAATGCATGAACTCATAAATTGGTCTAGACCCCGCAATCAATCAAACCTGCTAGAATCCACACTAAGCGCTGCCAACACCCTAGGCCTGTAACTCCTGTAACATGGGAACGCCGGCCAATGACGTCCAGGAACAGGCATGTACTTGCCTTCTCAGAACATCATCAACCAAAACGTAGATGTAAATCCAAGAAGAATTCAGAAAGATACAATAGAAGAACAAAATGGACGTTGAGGGGCTTGAACCCTCGACCTCACGCAATTCCGATATGCAAAGCGTGCGCGCTACCACTGTGCCAAACGCCCATAGTTTGAATTGCGTACAACAAGTCTAGACTCGTAATCCTTCCCGGAAGGACTTGCCTGCAAGGCCAAGCTACGAGATGTGACGCTCTCCTATGATCCGATCGGCGACGGTGGAACGGAGACCCAGGTGCACGACAGACGACGGTGTCCATGCCCCACACAAGGCTAAATTGAATGCGTGTCCGGTGGGTGATCGGCCAGGGCACGTAGAGCAGGATGGCGGACCTTATCGCTGACCCCCGGGCCACCTGCCGATCGATCGCCCCGTCGTACCCCATCCGATGCGGAAGACATGGAAATGCTCTGATTGCGACGTACAGTTTGCGGCTGGCGCCGGGGCAAAAGAGTCATCAGTCTGCGAGGGTGCATTCCTGCAGTACGTACAGCGGCGCTACAGGATTGGAGTGAATGGATACAAGGGGAACACTACTATGCGAGATGGTTCACGCGTCCCTGCGGAACTCCGTCTTGCTCGGCTGGATCAATAGAGAACTGGAGATGAGACGCCGCGGATGCGTCAAGAGTATGAGACACGCTGGGTTCTAGGAGTAGCCCGTCGCTGCGAGGCGAGCATGCTACCGGCTAATCATGCGACCCCCAAGGCCAGAAGACGGGCACCATCCTGCATATTTGTCACGCCAGCGTTTGTCGTTCATTCAGCCCATCCAAGCATGGTGGTATTGCGTGAACGAGCAGTCCAGAAGACACGGAGAATTTATGAGGCGACATGACAGTACGTGGGAGAGACATTTTGTCAGTGCTGAGAATAACTGATCGAGTGTAGGGTCGTCAGACTGACCGCTTGTACTCGTGCCACTTGGGGTCATGGCCATACTTCTTATCACCCGCTTTCTGTGAATAATGTATGTGAGTCTTTTGTCAATATCAAGAGGGGGGTTCACAGAGCACGACGCACCTCAAGTGGCGGCACTCCCGACACATTACGGAGGAGGGTCCAGGTCATCAGGGGGCTCAACCCCGCAATCACCCATGCGACCCGGGGAAAATACGGGGTACGTAGCGAGCGCACTGAAAGGAGCCAAATTCCCGTCCAAAGGCCTACTTCGCCGACGTAACTATCACCGTGGGTAGGTCCGTTAATATCGCGAGCAGAAAAGATGTAGAGAGGCACACTTGGGATGACGGCTGATGCCCCAAAGTCCGGTCGTAATGAACTTCTCATCATGGTCCTTGTTTTCCTTCGCCCGGCGCCACTTGGTCTTTTGATGATCAGCGACTGTAGAGATATGTAAGTCGACGCGCGCGTTACTCTCGAAACATGTCACTTCAAAATTGCAACAATGGCAAGGCAAATGCAGCCGAAAGGAGTGGATAAATGCGGCAGAAAGGATGCCAAGATTGCGTCGGACTGGGTTAATGGCGATGAACAGAACACACCTATTTCAAATAGCCACGATCCCGCGAAAAGAGCGGCAGAGACGTAATCCAGGGATCGAAGTGGAGGGTGAGCGGCAGAAGGCAGTGTGTTCACCTGTCAAAGGTGATATTTTCAGACTCTTGATGCCAAGGATAGTCAGAATCATCACGTACCATGTAGACAGGAAGACCGACGAATAAAACCCAAGTTGCTAAAGAGAAGATCATATTCATTGAGCAGTGTTACCACGAACAGAAGCCTAAATGTGTATGAAAACGCAGAGAAACGGACCTTGAGCCATCCAGAATGCGGTGAACTTGGCTGGTTGATGCTTCACTTCGTCAAACCTAGAATCACCGCCTGCCTTCAGAGCTCTCTAAAAAGGCGCATATAGTGACCATTCGTGCGAGAATATTAGCCTAAAGTTGCGCACCGTCACTAAGAAACTGCCTAGCCGAGCACTCCATGCCACGAGGGCGGCATTGAGCAAGATCTGTCTCGGCGCAAAGGAAGTAAACGCTGGTATTTTCACGGCTGTATTTCCTTCCCAGAACCTGGCTTTCAGCGAGGGATAGTAAAGGGAGATGAAGGAGGTAGACACGAAGCCGAGCGCTCCGCCAAGATCGTAGAATTTTTCATCCGCTTGCGGAACGAAGATGAGAGCAAGCGCTAACAAACATTTCACTGAGAGCGAGCATCGTTTCAATTTGTCTAAACGCGCACCGGTCTGCAGACCATAAGCACTTGCAGCGGACGGAAGGAGACTGGAAAAAAGCGGCATATTGCTGAAGCCGTTCACAGCAGAATTACACTTCGTTTAATCAGTGTCTCCTAAAAGTAAATCCCACTGGATAGAACTGCAGTTGGCGTGGAAGTCAAAGGGACGCGGTCGACGTTGAGAACAGAGGCGCG